GGCGTCTTACATATATTCTTACGCGATATATTGTAGCGAGTCGGCGCGGCCCAACAAATGCTTAAGGTCGTTCGCATGGAGTAGCCCCTTAAAACCTGTAGCCAGAACGGCTTTCAAATGAGTCAGGATTTGGCATGAAAATACCTGGTATGATAATGAGTGGCAACTTGTTATGATAATGAGTGGTAACTCAGTGGTTGCAGCAACATAATGTGCCGGATTTTATTACGTTTAAGCACGCATCGGATATACTTCAAAAATAGCTTTACTAAAATCTGGTGACACTAAGTAAGCTTTTCATGCATCTTCGTCGAACCTGGGACTTTATTCCACAAGCAGATATTGACAACCTTATTTTATGTAGCTTCTTCGGAAAACAAGTAAAATCGTTGGTCCTGCGCTTGATCTCTCTCTGCTCGGGTCGGTTTACTGTCTCATCGAACTATGAGAGTGAGGAAACAGAGATTACACCTGTACTTGGGCATACACTTATAATTCTGTTTCGCTAGTCTCCGTTGAGACTGGCCGAAATTCGGCCTGGAGAAAATTACTAACGCAAATTATTCTTTTAGTTTACAAATTTATTGTTATTAATTTTGTTACTTTCTACAATCACACACACTTTCTACAAAAACCAATCAACTTTTTTATTTTTCTTATTTTCTGAATTTTTAAAAACGTTACACTCGAATTTTATCCTATATCATAGAGGCAGTTTGCAAACATAAAGTGCACAAATACAAACATTCAGACCCGGAACAATTATTTGGCCATACAAATACTTGTTCGTGCGGAGTTTGAACACGCAGCCTTCAGCGCCTCAACTCAATGCTAAGCCATTGCGTCACGGAACCTTACTTAATTTATGCTATCTAAGCCTTTTTTAAATCAATTTTATCTAATTTACGTTTACAGTATAAATACTGTGCATTTTGATATAATTATGTTACAAGAAGTTGTTTTTGGTTGATACACGAAAAACTGATAATATCCGTTGATTGCGATGACCGAATATGTAGAAAAACAAGGTATTCATTAATTTGAGACATATAGTGCCCGTTAAATTGGAGGTGTATAAATAAAATAGTTCGAGGACTTGTGAAATTTGCCGACAGGCACCGGAGTAGCGCGACAGATTGACGCCTCCATAACCCTCTCAGATATGATAGTAGACCGTGTTCGGTTATTTCTGTAACATATTGGCTGTACTTTTACTTTTATTGACTATTACCAGGCTGAAGTTAGAATATAAAAGAAGCTTGCAATTTTGCTCGACTCTAACTTAAATCAAAATAAAATAGATTAGTAAATCGAAATGGGCACCTTTGATATTGGGTACTGTAAAACACCGGAGCTAAAAATAAATAAAGGTTGAACATCCATACCATCCATATCCATCCATGTTTAAATAAAAACTTTAACGATTTGAGAGATAAATTATTGTTGTCTCCGCGAAGCTATATCTGACAATAACAGGAACTTTTTTGTGTTTTTCAAAAGTAAAGTATGTAAGATAAGAAAAGAAATAAATACCTTTTGCTTTTATTTAATTTGCTTTATTTTTCATTAACTTGAGTTTAAATTTATAAGTGGGATGAATTTCTAATTTTAAAGTTGCCCATTCATATACATCACAGGTTCGTACTTACGGTTGCATAGGTATTTTTTTTTTAAATAAAGTTTGTAAAACGAACATAATATAGGTTATGGCAATGAGGTCTAATATTTTCCGCTCATCAGAAGTCACTAGTTGGGACAGAGGAGAAGTAATTTGTTAAGCAATGACATTTGTTAAGAAGCTGTTTTAAATAAAAGTTTATAGGTTTTTAGAGTGCGCAAATACACATAACAATGCGTCAGTGGTTTGCTCTTTAATTTAGTCAACATTTTCTTACTTTCTTTTTAATTTTTCTACTTTTAGGAATATCCGTAGTTTGGTTCGTCTATTTCTAATTTAATTTATATAAAATGTAACCAACATATTAGAAAAAGGAACAAAACAAACAAAATTTGTCAAATATTTCACATCACTCATAAGAGGCGCCGCCCTAGTGTCAGAAAAAGTCGTGGATGCCTCATTGACTTTTTTACCCCTACAGACTAACCACCAAACGAATCAGCACAGCATTATTATGCTGATATTTTATATGCTTGTATTCTGTGACAGCGTGGTTCTTCTCCGGTCGAGCTGACCTATTCAGGCTACAGGCATAATATAGCTGCTTCTTAGCTCTACTACGTGCAAGTTATGAAAAAATCTCAATACATTTATTTACATAAAAGTATTTTAAATAAGGAAATTAAAATCGCATTGTTATTTAAGACTAATATCTATTATAAAATTCTTGCACAAGTCTCTTAAGTCCAGCAATTCTGCTTATAAAATTATTATTTATGCGCCGTTTCGTTCCGTCCAATATCATGTGATGTCATGTGGTATCATCATCATATCAACTACACAATAATATAATTAACGAAGCTTAAACTGTAAAATAAACATTAAAAATATGGCTAGATGTAGTAGAAATAATAATATTATCTGTTTTTATTTTGGATCTTCACTTTGATAGTTAGTTAACTTAAGTTATATTAAAAAAAAACAGGTGATAAACGACTTATGGTGGTGATGGTAAAAGGCTACTGCAGTCCACAGATAGTTGTAAGAAAATTCAAGCAAATAAAGTTACGGATGCGTTATCACCTCTGAGGACTAAAAAAGAATGTTTCACAGCCTGTAATAATACTAACTGTTTAAGGCGATACCCCCATCAAAACCTTGCGATAGTGCGTTTTTCTTCGTTATTCAGAGACTATTATCTCATTATATATGAAAAATAAATTACATCCAAAAGCACATTATTAATGTTCGATATCTTATCATCATATTTCACGTTCTTATTTGTTTTCATATGTTATAAAAACGTATAAAATCTACTTTTAAAAAATGACTAAAATTATTGATTACATGCATCTGTTGCTAAAGGCAACGCTCTAATCATTTGAGGATTACACTAATGGATAGATAATTTTAAAAAAAATATATTATTCACGTTTTATTCAATTTTTAAAGTTCGCTTTTCTTTTTTAATTAAAATTAATTCCAAAAATTGTGTGAATTCTATGATAAATGGGCATACGCAGAGTGCGGGCGGCAGTGCTCTGCATGTTCAAGGTTATTTGGACAGGGAAACGCCTTAAACGTATTCTCTGTTACGTAGCAGCAGAAATAGGCAAGAGGCCTACCTCTTGGTAGCTACCTCGACGGACTCCTAGACTGAAAAGGAGGCCTAACAGTAAAGTATTGCAAAGTCCAAGTAAAGTAGTAGAGCGGGAGCCCGGTGTAATTTTATTATATATTTTATTAATTATTATATAAAAACGCAACTGTGTCTGAATAATAAAAATGTGAATTTGCGTTTGACTTATTAGCTGATTAATTTTACCGACTACGGAAACATTGGGTAAATAACCGAAGTTTTCAATTAAAATTATACGCGAAAATAATAAGGAGAGGAAGAGTATGCAATGAGTACCTAAGTCAAATAAACTCAGTTTAAAATCTATCAAAACTGATTAATCTTTATAGAAATGAACACTGTAGGTTAAATTATTATATCTTCCGGAATTTATTAACCTAAGTTATCAATCGAATAGAATTTCAAATTACATCGTTCAGAGCACTCTCGATAAGAGAAATATCTTTCATGGCGATATTTGAAATAGTTCAATTTCTCTTCTTTCCTGTCTATGATTTTTTACAAATTTATTTTTAGTCACGAAGCCGAAATATCCTTGAAAATGAGAAGTTCAAAATCTTAGTCTAGAAAACGACGTAGGATACGTTTTATCCCGATAGTATTAGGTATTTAGAGACGTGAATCAAACCGCGGAAAATAGTCGGAATCATTTACCATACCTAGGATACTAATTATTACTTACTTTTACACATAATTAAAATCTTAACTATAAACTATGTAAATAGTATTTTGCATTACTTTTAATATTGTACAAAAAGTATTAGCTTAGGTTAGGTACTAAGTAATAGTAAAAATACAGTTTTGTTTCACTTAATCGCATAAGTATCATAAAATATTTATAAAATACAGTTTTAGTAAAAAGTAAAATTTACGTTCACTGCTAAAAACCGACTCCAAAAACTAAAAAGTATAAAAATAATTTACCCATTCTTATATTATTCATTTGCATTTAAGCGAGAACTAAACTATTAAATTATTATTATTCTTAGCTTAATAAAATATTAATTATTAGATAATTCTTAGTTTTTGAAGTTAGCCTTTATATTTTATTAGAAATATAATATTTTAATAGGAATATAAAAAGATAAGAACTAAAATGTCGTCGTATGCTCGTAAATAGTTACATTCAAAACTTCATTTCCTACTATCCTTTAGGGGTGGAATTTTGTCTTCAAATTTGTATGAGACTATTCCTAAAGTACCTATAACCTGTTTAATAAAATATAATAATTTAAAGCAGTTCAGCCGTCTCCGAGAAATCGGTGAACATACGTAAAAGAACGCTGAATAACTTCCTTGTTTTTGAAGTCTGTTAAAAATAATATAATTCTTTACAACAAAGTAGTCAACTAACAAAATGTTAGCCTCGTTACATTTTAATCTCCTTATCATCTCATCAGCGATCGCCATAAATAAGAGGTAAACACACTTTGCGTCCTCATTTTTTCAACGATAAATCCTATGTTTAATCTTTTAGGTCGGTTGGTCTCACGTCTCCCTCTTCCCCGCAAACCGGAGGGTGAGATTAACGCGAGGGTGGCGATAAATTCTAATGAAATTTCCGGCAGAGACGAACCAGCTGACTACGTTCGTATGGGCAATATTCATTAGAAAAGTAGTTCTGTATCGTTTTCTGCAAATATACCTTATAACCTTGCAATACGTTCAACAAGAACTACCTTAGAGAAAATGAAAAAAAAATGAAAAATACAACTTATATTTAAATGATTATGTTTAACTTACCCAAAGGTTTTGGTTGAATTCCATAATCAGGGCTTAGTTTGAAACAAGGTAAAGCACCATACCATTTTTCAGTTAGTATATCCATATAACCGTTAGACGAATATTTTGCTATTACTGCAGAGATGCTATCCTGCAACAGTATTTCATTACATTATATTATTAATTTTATGATAAATATTATAATTCTGGCTTGATTTTATACTTAATTATCTATGATAATTATAAATGACATTCATTTAAGTTAAAATAACATGGCACTGGACTATTGATCGAGCAGCCCTTTGTACCCCATCCATCAATCTTTCCGTTCTAAGATCCGAAGTCATTCCGCTGTCGCTTAGGCCTTCGATCTTCGTCTTTTATCCCATGTAAACATATATATTATTTTCATATAAAATAAAAACGTTTGTCGCTACGACGCCATCAGATGAATTATGTAAATTTTACGTGTTATACATATAACGCTGCTAAAATATAACGTTGCTTAAATGTATTTTTATGCATAAAAGACATTTACTGTACCTTTAGTGGAAAACCTTTTGCCATTCCAATTGCATATGTGTCTTTAGTGAGGGCATGGTCTCCAACTTTTTGTAATTTACATCCGTGGTCTGTAGCACGATAGTAATCCAATACCGGAGTGTCTGCAATTAGGAGATCTAAAGTACCGTTTCTGAAAAATAAAGATACTACCTTAACATTTATTTTCACAAATTAATATCCCCTGATTCCCAAAAATTGATGGTAGTGAGAAGCGTATATTAGTACCTACTCATTTCAAGGTAAAACAATTTAAATAACTGCAGTTTTGGTAGAGCAGTGGTTACACGTATGGCTGCATCGCATCGGACCACAGATAAAATTATTTGTCCTAATATATATACCAGTTGTAAAGTAAAAAATGACTTTCGATAAGAATTACTTGTAATCAATATTGAATTAAATATTATTCTATTCTATTCTATTTATCTAACCTGGGTATTTAAACATGTACAATCTATATTTACAAGTAAATAAAATTTAAGTGTCTGTTTGTAATGTTAAAAGTAGCTTTTCAGTTAGCTTTTCGCTAAATACATATGAAAGTATATCTGTATATAAAAGTCTAAAAAGCGATATTTGTTTTTGAGATGAGGGAAGTGACATAGAATAATCTTTTTTATATTAATTAGGAAAGAACATTGTTGTTTGAATAATATATTAAAAATCATATTTATCATTATTTACGTAAAAATTTTTAGTTCAAAATTTGGACAAAGTTGTATCTGCTTATCGGCATAATAACTTACTAGGACAGAAGCGTATCTGCTTCTAAACTGTCAACACAATGGCGTTAAAACGCCTACTAATAATGTGTAGTGTTTAAAAATACTACACATTATTAGTACGAACTACAAAAAAATCTTACTAATGTGTATGTAGTTATTTATTTATTATTTATATATAATTAGGTACAAAATAAAAATCCAAAGGAAAATTAAGTGTTTATTTACCTATGTTAGAATTAAATTCAGCTTATAAATCGTTAAAGATAGTACTCAGTTTTTTTTTGTATTAGCTTGTTTTTATTTAGCTTTCTTAGGAACGACTTTGTGCAATTCCAGACAAGTTATCTTTTGCGTACACCTCTATGGTGCCGCCGACTAACATCTTTTACACTGCAATATTTTAATAAATACACATCCTGTTCTGGCTTTGTTTTGAGTGCAAAAAAGATTCAAACATTGATATCGTTTATCATTTTTAATAAAAATCAAACATTAATCAAATTATTTGGACTTTGTATTTTCAATTTCATTAAAACACCGAAAATTAAAATGACTTTTTTAACTTTTCTACTACCTTTTTCCACTGTTTAGGATCTCGTTTTGTTTTCCTGGCCTTATTCAGAGGCACTGCCACAATATTTTCTTCAATTTTTTTTCCTTTTCTACCTTTTCTCAACAAGAAACAAGATAATTCACAATTGAATCGTCACAGATATTCAACTGTAACTATTAGAAGCAGCCACGACAGTTTTCTTGAAATAAAGGCCTCTGATTGGTTCAACCAGATAGAATCGAATTTGCTCCTAAGCAACGCGGAACAGATGTGATTTCGCATATAAAAGTGATTTTCAATTTCATTTTGGAGGTGAGCTTGAAACTAATTTATGTGAACAAACTATAAAAAAACAACCCTAGATTAAAACTGCATTTAGAGTTTAAAAAATACAAAAAGGAGACAAAGCTGTCTTTGCTTTTAGACACCTCTATTCTTTCATACGTATTTAGTACTTATAAAAAAAAACAATGTATAAGATTTTCTTTTATTAAAAGGCTTCTGCGCAAAAAAATTAAAACCCATGAAATCCAATCGTAATAAATTCCACGCGGACGTAGTCGCGGGAAGCAGCTAGTACATTATATATTTATAAGGCCTCAATAATAAAATCCCTAAATACACATCTTTTATAATAAACATAATGTCCACTGCAAAATAAATTTGTTAAAAGGTCTCTGTGGGAATTGTGAAACGTCAGTTTAAATCAACATACGAGTAAAACAAAATTATGCATCAGAAGCGTCAAACCATCTATCGTTAAATGACAAAAGTAAAGTAGATGGAGTAACTATATGTTTACCCTACCTTATTAAGCTAAAGTTTTAAATAGTCTTTACGACATTTAATATATCGACGCGTCTATATAATACCGGATGGATCGTGAATGAGCGAGAGGTTGTATAACTTTAAGGGTATATCGAGGAACCCCCAGTTTGTGCAGTATTAAGTTCACTGTAGGCGCCCTGCGCTTGACATCACTTTCCGCTTGCGCTGTCGCCCCCGTGCGGTCTTCGCGGCTATCGGAGTCCGCTACCTTTTTTTTTATAAAATAAGGATGACAAACGAGCACACAGTCTACCTGATGGTAAGTGGTTGCTGTGGCCCTATGGGCATTCACATCTATCTTCGATTACGAATCAAAATGCAGATGCGTTGTCACCCGTGAGAAATAAGATGGAATGCCTCGTTTCCAGTAAAAAGGGGTCTCCGGTTCTCTACACTCACCATACGAAACACAGCAGCATTAAGCTGCTATTTTACGCTGGTATTCTACGAGAGCGTGGTCCTTCCCCGGTCGACCCATTCGTGCTACAACTATAACAGTAATATAGCTGCAGCATGGCTCTACTACGTGCGTTACGGTATTGTTGAACTCTAGTTGCTCTATACTGAATGTATAGTGCAATACCCAGTTTCATTGCTGATAATGATTAATTGCTTAAGCAGGAGAACAAGTTGAACATCCACTCTAACACTCTTATTATTTTTAACAATTAACCTTCTGATGTATTCCCGATATTTCCGACAAATTTATATTAAAAAGGTTTACATAATACATCGCCACCTTAGTCACAAAAGTCTGACATAAGCTTTTATTTTGCCTTGACAAGCAGCATTAATTTTTTATACTCTTTAAGATAGATATAAAGGTTTACGTTGTAAAGCCACGCTGCAGTTTTATTGTCGTTGAAGCAAATATTTGTTGCCTAGACCGGGGAAGACCCACACTCTCACAGAACAGCAGCGTAAGATAGCAGATTAATACTGCTATGTTTCGTATGGTGAGTGTAGAGAACCGGAGACTCTTACTGGAAACGAAACCTTCGATCATAGTCCTCAAGGATGGCAACGCATCTACATTTTGATTCTTAATTGAAGATAGATGTACATAATACACTTACCTTCAGGTCGGCTGTGTGTGTTTGTCACCAATATTCTTGAAAAAAATATCTTCAATTATAAACTTTATTTATGGATTTGTAGTAGCATTGTTAGAATATCCACTTCTTGCTATTGTCCCGTTGGTGTGATAAGGGGCAAAAAAGGGAAATAAACCTGACGATTGGCTTCTTATCTTACTAAAATAACTGACTAATAACAACTAAAAATAAAAACTACGTTTTCCAAACCCTATGCTAAGCGTGAGAACTATGTCAAATATTCCCCTATAAGGCAATCAATAGGAGATGCTCGTGTTCAGTAGTGAACTATTGAGAGGCTGTAAAGTATCTTGTATGCAGTATTGAGTATGGTTAAGTATTTTCATTGATTAATTACCTCAGCCGTTGAATTCCTTCCTCGATATCTTGCAGTGCATATTTTCGTATTTGTTGTGCCAGATGTGGATTGTTCCGTTGAACATAGTATTCTGCTACTGAAGAGCGAGCTGTTCCGACCCGCAAAGAAAGCCACTACAACAAAATGCATTTAAATATATACAAAGCACTTTAAAATAATAATTTGAAATGAACCGATTTAAATGAATATACATACATTATTCCTTCCTTGGTAATCATCTACAGCATTGTGAAAAAACAAGCCTGCAATAAGAGCTGCAATGTTGGCAGTATAACTAGCAACAAATATTACAGAGAACCCACCCCAAACATTGATAAGAAATTTATTCGGCCAACTTTTAGGGGCTTTAAAAGCAACAAGATGGCCACATAAAAGTCCCCACATTACCCAAAGAGCACTAGATATGCTAAAATTTTTAGATCTTTGACGTCCCCAAGGGTTCAGTCCAAAAGGTGACAGCCATTCGTATATTGCTACAGCAATAGCTGTAACATTTAATGACGTAAATATTGCAATCCACAATTCTGGTGAAAAGGGTAACAAAAAAGCTAGCAATGGTATATCTGGTCTTTGATTTGGTGCAGCTAATATTGAAACTCCGCTGAAAAAATAAGGTTGGCTAAAATCAACGACTTCAGCTCTTGCTGCGGACACACTTAAAGCAGCAAACGACATATGTGCAGCACCAGAAACTAAATCCCCTATAATGCCATTCCATTTTTCGTAATCTTCTGGCGTGTCTGGATAATAACCAGTGTTTGGTTCAATTTCTTCATTATCTTTATAAAATTGCGAATGATAACTTTCCTGTTTAGACCAAAACTCATTAGGAATATTTTTTTCAAATAATCTTCGAAAAGGCCTCACTATTTTTCTTGAACCATATAAGCCATCCTCTACTATATATAAATGGAAATCAAATTCAAGCTCTTGGGCTATATTTTCTAACAGATCCATTGCTAGACCATAACAACAATGTGTAGCCATTCTTGAGAAAGTCGTTGGTTTAGGTGTAGGAAAAAAGAAATCGTTAGTTTCTTGGTCGCTTTCTCTCTCTAATTCATTGAAAACTAGCGTTAAGTTATCTCTATCAGATGTTTGAGGACGATGACAAGTTAATCCTCTCAAACATTGTCCATCTTCATCGAGTTCGCCTTCCATAACAAAAGGAGGTGCTAAAGCTGTCACTATACGAAATATAGTTCGAGCACCAGCTGATTGTCCATGTGCAACTAGATGTCCGCCAGGCCAAACTATTGTATGTAGTTGGACTTTTCTGCCTTTTACTTGCCCAACTTCTCTCCAAACATTGCCGCCTTTAGAATTTGAAATCAAATTAAGAAGTGAAAATCTGGCTATAAGTGCTGGGTCTAGTTTTTCAGTTCCACCAGCTAATACTGCTGTTGATGATATCCGCATTTCTCTACAAAAAAAGGAAAAGATCATTAATGTAATGTTTTTTTAATACTACTACTTTTTTAATACTAATTATAACAGTAGTAGAGCCAGGCGGTAGCTTTTGCTGTCGCATGGATGGGCCGGCTCGAACCGGGGTGCTACCACGACCTCACAGAATACCAGCGTGAAGTAGAGGTTTACCTCTGCGTTTCGCTTGGTGAGTGCAGGTGGCCGGAGGCCCTCTTTACTGGAAATGAGGCATTCCATCCTAGTCCTCACGGATGAAAACGCATCTGCATTTTGATCTGTAACAGAGGATAGATGTAGATGTCTATGGGCCGCAGCAACCACTTACCATCAGGTGGACTGTGTGCTCGTTTTTCACCCTTCTCCTGTAAAAAAATACTAAAATTAAATTAAAAAGAATTGCTAAAATCTTTACCGATCTGGGTGTTTTACAACTATTTTAAGCCAATAAATCTTTTGGCATTTTCTACATAATCGCTTCTTGCAACCTCCATGGACCGAAATTGATGATGATTCTAATACGCGGCTACCACGCGGCAAGTATATAGTCGGTTATAAGTACCTCTTAAAGATTTACACTAATACGTACATGAAATATCAAGTAAGTATAGCAATCAGTTGTAGTGTTTCATCATCATCATTACAGCCCTTCACAAGTCCACTGCTGAACATAGGCCTCCCCCAAAGAATGCCACAAAGAACGGTCCTGAGCCACCTGCATCCATCGACTTCCTGCATGTCTTACCAGGTCGTCACTCCATCTCGTGGGGGGACCACCTACACTTCGCCTACCGGTACGAGGCTGCCACTCGAGAACCTTTCTTCCCCATCGGTTGTCGGTTCTTCGAGCTATATGGCCGGCCCATTGCCACTTCAGCTTACTAATCCGTTGGGCTATGTCGGTTACTCTGGTTCTACTGCGGATATCCTCATTCCTAAGTTTATCACGCAGAGAAACTCCGAGCATAGCCCTCTCCATAGCTCGCTGAGCGACCTTGAGCTTCCTCATCCGGCCAGCAGTGAAGGACCACGTCTCAGTTCCGTATGTCATCACTGGCAACACGCACTGGGTGTACAGTCTCGTTTTCAAGGTTTGAGGTATACCTGACGAGAAGATGTGCCGTAATTTCCCGAACGCTGCCCAACCGAGTTGAATCCGTCGATTTACCTCTCGGTCGAAGTTGGACTTACCTAGTCGGACTATTTGTCCCAGGTAAACATACTCGTCAACAACTTCGAGCTTAGTGTTCCCAACAACTACCGGCATAGGTGTGACATGGACATTAAACATGATCTTAGTTTTGTCTATGTTCATCTTAAGACCTATCCGTTGGGAAACACTATTAAGGTCATTGAGCATAGTGCTTAGGTCCTCCAGCGATTCTGCCATAAGGACTATATCGTCGGCAAATCGAAGGTGAGTAATGTACTCGCCATTTAAGTTGATACCGTATCCTTTCCAGTCCAGAAGCTTGAAAACGTCTTCCAATGCAGCGGTGAAGAGTTTCGGGGATATGACGTCACCCTGTCTTACACCTCTCTGCAATTGGATAGGTTTCGTACTCTGGCTCTGTACTCGGATAGCAATCGTAGCCCTACTGTACAAGCACTTCAACACTTCGATATACCGACAGTCAACTTGGCACCGCTGAAGGGACTGCAGCACCGCCCAAATTTCGACGGAATCAAAGGCTTTCTCATAGTCCACATACGCCAGACATAGTGGCAAATTGTACTCTTCGGACTTCTGTACAATTTGCCGAAGGGTATGTATGTGGTCTATGGTGCTAAAGCCCTTTCGGAAACCGGCTTGTTCGGGAGGCTGGAAGTCGTCAAGTCTGCACGCGAGACGATTCGTAATGACTCTCGAAATCAGCACGTAGACGCGGCTCAGAAGGGAAATCGGTCTGTAGTTCTTCAAGAGAGCGTTGTCACTTTTCTTGAAGAACAAGACCACCGCACTTCTGCTCCACGCCTCCGGTGTAATGCCACCATGGAGGACGGAATTAAAGAGCTTCTGAAGGACTTCAAGTACCGGTTTTCCACCCGCTTTCAGAATCTCCGCTGTAATTCCATCCTCGCCTGGGGCCTTACCGTTTTTAAGGTGCTGGAGAGCCATTCTAATCTCGCTCAGACTGACGTCCGGGATATCTTCGGAATATTGTCGGATGAGACTCGCTCTTGGATCGTTACTCACACTTGCGTGTGGCTCCAACGCTGACGTGTACAACTGCCCATAGAACCTCTCAATCTCACTCAAAATCTCAGGTGTCCCGGAAACGATGCTGCCACATTCTGTCTTCAGCTTTGACAGTTGGCTCTTTCTGGCAGACAGATCTCTGGCAAAGACTTTGGAGCCTTGGTTCCGCTCGATCGCTTCTTCAATACGAGCTGTATTGAAGTTGCGTAAGTCCCGCCGCATGCATTTGGAGATCTGTCTGTTCAGATGCCTGTATGCTGTCAAGTCTGTTGAAGAATGTAGCTTCATCTCCCGTCTAACAGCCATGAGATTAAGAGTGTGATCGGAGAGTTTTTGTTTTCTTCTGCGGCGGGTCTTGCAGAACTTAGCTCCGACCGCTTGGACAGTTTCCACGAGCTTGTAATTCATATCGTCCACTTCATTGCAGTCTTCTAGGCACTGAAAACGGTTTTGTAACTCGAGCTGAAAGGTTTCGGGACTTTGGATTAGAGCACGAGGGGGACGGAGCGTTGACTTCATTAGACGAGACCTCTCCAACTTAACGTTTAGGTTCAGTGTGCCTCTAACCATTCGGTGATCGCTACCAGTTTTCACCCTCGCGATCACGGAGACATCACTGAACAGTTGTCGTCTGGTCGTCATAATGAAGTCAATCTCATTTTTTGTCGAACCGTCGGGGCTCGACCAGGTCCAATTCCTGTGGGGCCGCTTCTGGAAGAAAGAGTTCATCATAAAGAGTCCCTCTTTCTCCATGAAGTCGGCCAGCTGCTGGCCCCTTGGGTTCCGTTGCCCTATTCCAAACTTCCCTACTTTCAGCTCACCGTTCTCTCTTGTGCCTAGTTTTGCATTAAAGTCTCCCATTAACACCGTATATTGGGTTTTGGAGGAATGCATGGCTCTAGAGATATCCTCATACATTTCCTCCACCTCCTCATCGGGGTGTGCCGAGGTTGGTGCGTAAACCTGTATGACCTTCAGCGAATACCGTTTGGTGATTCTGAGTATAAGGTACGCAACCCTCGTCGACACACTCCCGATCTTTACAACGTTGTTAACGAGAGACTTGTGGACGATAAATCCGACACCTCCTTGCGACAGATGGTCGCCCTCCCGGTGATAGAGCAAGTTGCCGGATTCGAGGATTACCGTGTCCTCCCCCTCTCTTCGGACTTCGGATAATCCTATAATATGCCAGCGCAACTTGTCTATCTCTTCTTCCAGCTCCATGATCTTCTCGTCAGTCCTCAGGGTGCGTGCGTTGTACGTTGCCAGGTCGAGTCGTCTAAGGTGGCAACCGAACCTTCACCGGAGATTCTTAGCACCCCCTAGTGTAGTGTTTAGCAACAAATAAAATAAATAATCTAATTATTTTAATGCCATAAAAATTATAGTTTTCTTGTTTGTCCCGTATGCATTTCTATACTATTTAATTTCGAGATTTCGATCATTGCAACGCATATCAAACAATGCTAGTAAGTAAAAAAAAAACATCGAATAATATATTTATTTCAAAGGGTAACAAAAAGTTCTTGTTGAGAACAGTTAAAGCCCAAATGGCCAACCTAATAAAAGAAAATAAAATTTCAACCAAGAATGGATCACGCAGCAACTTAGGCAAGAATTTGTTAAAGCATGTTCATTGTTGACCCGACCTCTTTAAGTGACCTAATTCTTAAATATAGGTACATAAAAAGATAATGAATATCTGTGTCGGCAGTTAACGGTAGTGTGCAGACTGGATGTCAGCCAAATTTGTTTTCGTCTGTTATATCCAACCCATCGATGAATGTGTTTTAAATTTTAGTTTTGCCGAACGTCAACCTAAAATCTTAAAATAAACTACGATAAGTAAAACATAGTAGGTACCTAGGTATTAGGTAGGATGTTAGTCGCTTAGAGAGCTATGGCTATGGCCATGCTCATAATGCGTGGTAAAATCCGTAATTTTTATTCGATATAGATTACAAGATTATACATTACGGCGGGAAACAAAACAGGAAATAGGCAGCAACATCTTTCTGATATCAACTCAAAATAATATGGAACTGCGGTTGCCAACCCACCTGCTGAGCGTGGCACCTATGGCAAAATCTCCTCTGTAAAGCAATATATGGGCGAGGCCTATATTCAGCAATATTTTCTGTCACTGCACAAATGGTCACATATTGGTGTTAACAACAGACGTTTTTTAGCTATTTTTAATGGTACTTTGTGATAAATTTGACTTTATAACACATGACTTTGCCTAGGTACAAACAACTTAAATTATAAGTATTTACCTGAAACTTCTTTAACTGTAATTTTTAAGCGATATATAAAGTTAGTAGGGTACAGATCAGCTGTCTAACTAAGGTGTCCAAATAAGCGAGGTGTCTCCTGGTCACCGCTATGCGATCGATAGACACAGGCATGAAGGAATTTAGTACTACGCGTATTCAGCGTTACCTAGATTGTCGAAAAGGTGGAGTCTTCAAGGTGACGGAGACGCTTAAAGTAGATGTTATGGAGAACGTGCACATAAACTAGGGGGGATTGATGAAATATGTGCTTCATGGAGAATCCAGTATCTCCGCCAAGAAAAGTAGGTGTGGCTTCTCAGTTTCGTCTGTATCTTTTTTATGGGTCGCTCAGAACTTATTTCTAGAATATACGATTTTGATAATTTTTTTAAAGTTGGTGGTTCTCATGTAAATTAGCCATTTAAATTTGATCAAGATTTGACCTGTACTTTTTGAGTTATCGTTTGAGACTTTTTTGAGACCTTTATATCGTTGCATTTAATTAACAAATATAGTATA